CTCAGCCATAAAAAAAAAAAAAAAAAAAAAATGAAATCTTGCCATTTGCAGAGGATATTATGCTGAGTGAAATAAGTCAAAAACATGTCATATGATTTCACTTATATGTGAAATTTAGAAAACAAACAAAACAGACACAGAGTCATAGATACAGAGAACATTTTGATGACTGCCAGATGGGAGAGTATTGGAGGGATGGATGAAAAATAATTAGATTAAAAATACAAATTGGTGGTCACAAAAGTCATTGGGATGTAAAGTAATAGCATATTAAAATAAAGAATACATAAAGCAAGAGTGAAAAACAGTGGTATCACTATAAAGGATGGTATTTTTTTTTTTTTTTTTAGTACTTTGAAGGATAGTGGAGGTAAATGGGAACCAATACCTTGCATCGTTCTTTGAGTATGAAAATAACCTGTGTATGAGAATTATAATGATTTTAAATATTCTAAGGAAATTAATATTTGTAATTTAACATAGTTTCAGTCATTTTATTATAACTCTGTTAGACATGATTTCATATAAAATCTTGTCCTAGTGCCAACAGAAAATATAACCAGGTGAGCTTTTGTCTTAGACTCCATACTGAAGGATTTAGTTGTCAAGCATTGTTTTAAAATGAATTCTGTCTCTAGGTTTAATCCTCTTAGAATTTAAAAGCTATATTAAAATGGGAAGTGGTGTAAGACATCATTTATGAATCTCTTTATTTTATGTATTAAGGAATAAATGTGGAGAGGTCAAATGTTTTGCTTAATAGCTGCAAGGCCAAAGTAGTGACAGTCCTTTAGAAGCAAGGTGTTCTTTCCTCTTAAGCATGTGAGTGGGTTAATTGACTGTGATTGTGTTGTTCAGGCAATTTATATTCTGATTGTATTGAGATGTAGTGTACAATAAAAGCACAGACTTTATTTATTTATTTAAATATGTTTTTATTGATTTTAGAGAGAGGGGAAATGACAAACAGAGAGAGAGAAAGGGAGACATCAGTGTGAGAGAGAAACATCGATTGGCTGCTTCCAACACATCCATGGGGATTGAGTCCACAGCCCGGGCATGTGCCTTGACCAGGAATCAAACTGGTGACCTCTTGATACATGGGACAGCGTTCACCCAACTGAGCCACACTGGCCAGGGAAAAGCACAGACTTTAGTAGCAGAATCAGTTATACTCTGGATCTGCCACATACAGGTAGAATGACTCGGGAAGCTGCCTTCGCCTCTCTGATTCTTGCTGTTGTCTATATAGGGATGGGAAGGAAATTATTGTGGTCCTACATGAAAGCAGAACCTGAAACTGGACTAAAACTCTAGCCAATGTTCTTCAGAGCTGAACCCTGTCTATTTGTTGTTTTGTGTATGTTGTTTTGTGTTTTGGATGTGAGTACTTTCTCAATGTTTAATTGAAATCTAAGACAGTTTCTTTTAATTTCAACATTGTACAGTTCTGTCACCTTTAAAGACCTACTTTCTTGTGTTCTAGTGTGTATATGATCTCTCAACCATTTTAAGAAAACTCTGAGTCATTGACTTAGGAATAAATAAAATTTATTCATCTCATTATTCACCCAGTTTTTGCTCTGTGCCAGGCATTGGGGATAATAGATTAAGTTCATGATGACTGAAATATCAAATAATGAGATCATACCAAATAGTAAGTAGGACCCACTTCTAAGTTTGTTGAAGGGGGTGAGGGCCTTAACTATGTCAGTTTTTCAGTATTTATAGTTGAGATGGTGGGATACATTTTTTAAATGTGAAAGATACCATTCAACCCGCTAATGCATACTTTAAAAAACGTGAGATTTTACTAAACCCCACAGAAATTGTATTAGTTTTATATGAGAAAACAAGATTCTAACTTTTACTAAGAAAAGGCGGCCAAGTACTTAATGAAAAGCATATTTATTAGACAATATCCAGTTTTTTGTTATTAAATAGCATTTGTTATTTTCTGATTATAAGTGATATGAGCATTTGAATATATGTTTAAAGAGCATATTATTTTTAAAGATTGAGGTAATTCTCAGTTTTTATACATTTGTAAATAAAGTTGCAATAAATATTGATTCACTTGAATCTTTGTTATTCACTTAGCTGATTATATCGTTATTATAGTGACCACACGGTGAAATAACTGGCCTGATCAGGGTATAAGGTATTTTTTGATCTGTGAGATACATTTCCACATTACTTTAGAAAAAGACTGCATCACTTATACTGCTACACAATATGAGTTCTCTTACTGCAACCTGGAGCTAATTTTTCTTCGGCAGAGGTCAAGGCTTTCTCATTTTCACAGGGAGGTAGCTGAGGGGTCCTGCTGCTCGGGACTCAATGAAGCTGGGTTGAAGAACATGTTTGTACTTTAAACCACCAAGTGAAAATTGCAGTTCATTTTTTTTTTTCCAATCAAGTTTAGTTTTGATAAAGTTTTAATATAAGGAGATTTAAAAGGGCCTGGGAGCATCATGAGTTATAGGAAGACCTGGGCTGCTCTCCCAGGGCCGCCTGGCTTTGCCTCCTCATCTGTGTGCTGAGTTCCATTCTGACAACACTTCTTGTTCTTAAACTTGTTTTCTAGCACACTCACACAAATCATGGAAAGATTTAAAATCTCTCTCTCTCTTTTTTTTTTTTTAGGCAATAAAAAAGCATTGTATCTTTTGTTAAATATTTATGTAGTAGGCCATTGATGTCTTCATTGAAATCTGTCTTTTGACAGATTAGATATGGTTAGGGAGGCAGAGGAAGTATGCACTCTTTTCCAGGAAAATGGTCATGTTCAAAGTTCTATCTGAACTGGCATCTTACTGTTTTTCTCTAGGAAGCCTGCATAGTACAATTTTTTTTTTTTATCATCACCCGAGGACACTTTTTGTTCAGATAGAGTAGGAGGGAGAGAGAGAGAGAGAGAAACATTGATGTGAAAGGGACACATCGAGTGGCTGCCACCCGCACGACCAACCAGGGCCGGGGACAAACTGCAACCAAGGTACATGCCCTTAGCGGGAACCGAACCTGGGTCTCTCGGGACCGCAGGCTGATGCTCTAACCCCTGAGCCAAACCGGCCAGGGCCCTGCATGTACAATTTTTAAAATCTAGTAACAAACTGTAGAAATGATCCCTGAAAGTATAGTATTTTTTAAATCTAATTTTTATTTGACTTTATAAAATGCTAAAGTAGCCTCTTGGGATATTTAGGGATTTTTCATGAAGGATCTTTATAGAGATTTTATCATCTAAAAAATTGCATTTAAATAGTTCAATTAAATGTATTTGTTAAGCAAACTTGAAGATGCCTTATGATGAAATAAATTGTTGCTTAGCAAGTGGATCTTGTGTGGAGAGCCTTGTATATAGCAAGTCTCTTTAATGTATGTGCTCATTTTAAAACTGCAGATATACTTGTTCCTAAAGCTGTAGGGTATTTTTTTGTTTGTTTTTTTGTTTTTATGTCCCCCAAATACCTTGGAGGCTAGCCGTAGTATTCGTTCAGAAGTATTTTTTTATTCTTATACATCAGAGACCTTGAATATTTAATTTACTTTTTAGTAAAGCTGTCAGTTGTAATCTGCAATTTAAAAGAAACTAATGAAACAAATTCTCATTTTACAATTTAAACCTTATTGAGTTGAATTCACTGGCATAGCAAGTTTATTATTTTCCTGCAGTTTGATGTGCTTTCAACTGTAATTGTATTGACCCTTCAATGCATTAAATCTCCCCAGTGCTTATCAGACTGGGAGAGATAAGCCTACAATTCGGAACTTCATTAAATATCTCATTTATATTAAACAGATGATATCCTCTTACAGAAATCATAATTTGTTCAGACGAAGGAACTGCCAGTTGTGGTTTCATCTGTTTGGAAAATGCAGTGTCCTCTCCAGCTTTGATGTGTTGTGTTGTGTTGTGTTGTGTTTGGCTGCCCTGCTCTCCAGTACTCTCTGGCTACAACCAGCACCCAAATGTCCTTAAGCTATTAGTCCATGGGGTTAACCTCAGAGCCCACCTTGGGAGGAGTGTAGTTATGTATGCTTTGTTTCTTCTTGAAGCAGAGTCGTTTCAATGCCTTACTAACATAGGTTTTTGTTTTTGTTTTTGTTTTTTATATTATGTTTTTGAGGAATATGATTTAGAGGGCATTGCTGTTTTAAAGAATGCCTCGTACAATTTTATTCATGGTGATCTTGACTTGTATTCTTTGCTTATTTAGGAGATTGTATGTCTGTGAAATAAACATCTTTCCCTGCTTCATTAGAATATTGTTTATATACTATTAAAATGCTTTTCTCATTTATTCACTATCTTATGCTTAAGATAACAATGGGAGGACAGGAAGATTATTCCTAATGTCTAGCAGAAGAAATTTAGGCTCGGTGTATTCAAGACACCTGAGCTAAGAAATGGTCTTGTAGAGTGGAATAGTAATTCAACCAGCACACATACAGAAATGTGTGCTAACCCGGCCTGTGTGGCTCAGTGGTTGAGCATCAACCCATGTACCAAGAGGCCACTGATTCGATTCCTGGTCAGGGCAGAAATGTGTGCTAATTATTTTGTGTACTTATATACTGTAGTTGTAAAAGTAGAGTTAAGTTCCACAGCTGCCATTCTGATAAAGCATGTCTTGTGCAGAGTGACATTGTATGAAGAATTTTGAATTAAATCATCACTTAAATTGACGTAAGCAGATACTAACAAACTAAAAAAATAAGCAACACAATAATTTTTTTTAAGCTTTTAATATACATTTTTTTTTTTTTTTGGTGGTTGAAATCTGACAGAACTTCATGGGGGGGCACAGTGTAAAGTGGCACAGAAAGTGGGTCATTAGGCAGAGCTGTCATCACAAATTATTTTGGTACAGGGTGAAAAGTTCTCGTTCATTTGGTACCCAGTTGGATGTAGGCCTTGGGCAAGTTGTTATAATACCCCCATGCTGCTAATCGGCCACTAGTCCTGACTCTCTCTTGCTCCCCTTTCTCTATAGCTGAAGTCACCTGGGAGCCCCTCGGGACCTGAGCTACCCATTGAAACAGTGTTGGATGATAGAGAACGAAGAATCTCCCATTCCCTCTACAGTGGGATTGAGAGGCTTGATGAATCCCCCACAAGAAATGCTGCACTCAGTAGGATAATGGGTGAGTCAGGTAAAGCTGTTTATCACATCTTATTTTTATGCTTTAACTGGTTCTCACAGAGGTTATTAATGTAAAAGAGGGCCGTGTTTTCAAGAGGAAAAGAGTGGGTTCATTACAGTCACTCAGGAAGTGTTAATGTGAAGAAAGTAAATCAATACATTGATTTTTTTAAGTGAGTTTTAGATCTGTAATGTGGGAAGAAAAAAAAGTAATCCCATAGAAATGTTTTCCAGTGATGAAGATATTCTTAGTGTGTTTGATATAATACATGAAGCCGTGTTTTTAAAAAGGTCAAAATTTAGTGGTTTATGTCAAGGAGGCTTCAAAAGTTACACATCATTCATAGTACTGTTTGCAGGGAGAGGAAAAATACATGTGTACATATATATGTGTATATAAGTTATTCATATTTATTTGGTTTGTGCTAAATAAGAGGGTAAAATTTTTTACTTGCACCTCTGCTTTTTCAAAGCCTACATTTTAAAATCTTGAAATGAGTTTTTGCATCCTTTGTTTGGATTCAACACCGTGCTGTGTGCATGGGCCCCACTGGGTAATGAGGTTGTTCGCGCTTGCTCTGTAGCAGTGCAGCTTCTGCTAACAGATCCAGTTAATAAAGACTTGCTTTGCCACAGGACTGGTTGGATGTACTGAGTTGCTCATCTTGGGATTGCCTTGGGAGAATTTTCAAATTTAAAACACAGCAAGCTACTTTGATTAAAATAGCAACTGACGTAAAACACTTTTATTGCTCATATAAAGTAAAACCCAAAATTTTAGTCCATTTTGAGTACATTAAGTACTGTTTAGTATATTTAAAATTTCTATTGTGAAGCTTCATTAGAAGAAGAAGTTACTTCATTCATCAGTGGATATTTATGGAAAGCCTGTTATTGAGGGCATTGTGTATACCCTTTTGTTGTAGATACAAAGATGAATAGAAATAATGTGTGCCTTCAAAGAACTTTCTATTGAGCATAATAGGAAAAATACATAAACATGACTGCTAGAATTTTCAGTTGTTCTTTCCTCTAATTCCTCTAGCTTTCTAGTTTAGAAAAAGTGCTAAATTCTCATTTATTTTGTTACACATAGAATTTAGACATGCCACCTGTAGTTTTATTTTGTCACCAATCTTCCTTTCCCCTGCTTAACATAAGTGAAAGCAGAGGAAGGATGCTAAAGATATTGGGCACCTGTTACGTGACAGGCATCGCATGTAATTTATCACATTAATCTTTGCTTATTAATGATCCCTCTCTTCAGTGCTGTTGGATTTTCAATACTTTCTTGGATTTGGTATAAAACTTTATCTTTGTTAAATATTTTTTTACTGAAAGGAGTTTAGACCCCTTGAGAGAGAGAGTGCATGTGTGCCTGAATCTGTGTGCATACAAAGTGATATGCTGTAATTTCCCCTCTATTATAGGAACATAGGACTTGCCATACTGAATCAGACCATTGGTCCACCAGTTCCTGTAACCAGCGTCCTGCCTCCAATCCCTGATGCTTCAGAGGAAGGCGAAAAACTAAAATTAAAAAACAAATAAACAAACAAACAAAATTCACCTAGGAACCTTTTGAAATGCTGTATATATGGGTTGAGGATTCCTTCATTTTTGTTATAGTCTGTTGCCCTGATTTTGTTAGCTATGAATTCATTAGTCTGCTTACGTTTGCACTGTAGTTGGCATTGTTTTTCCCTTCCCTCTGCTAGAGATGTAACGGGCTTTTAAAACTCTAGATGCTTCACCCAGGACAGTACCTTCCCTACCATCTGTGTGCTTTTGGGCTCAGGGCTGACAGACACTTTACGTTGGATGATAGGCCAAATTGATGTTGAATGATTTGGATATTTTCTTTAAACAGGTTTTTTACATTTTGTACTGGAAACTAGGGAACGTATATAGTTTTACCCTGAGAAATACATGTACTTAATTTGATTTATCTTTAGCTTTGCAAATTGAGAATTCCTCAGTCTTTGTCATTCCCTATTTCAGTATTATTGGCACCAAAACATAAATAAACTTTATTAAATCAGTTTCCCCTTAAAGTTAGAAATTCTACAAAAAAAAGTTACCTTGCAATGAAACACCAAAACAGGAAACCAAATATAAGTTATTAGAGCACTGAATTTCTATTAACCTACACCAATAGCAATAGTATTTATTGATTTGCATAGTATCTAGGTACATGAAAATTGTCAAACAGATCTTGTTTGGTAAATGGTGGTTGTCTTCTGTGCTTTTAGAATAACTCCTGTATAGACTGTGTAGACATTAATAGAGGTGATGGTATTTACTTCATGATCAACTATGATTCAGTTAGAACTTAGTATTGAAATTCCAGTTGACTACATTAATAAATGATTTATTTTATGCAAACAGGGTGAATTTCCACATAAAATATTTCCACATAGAACTGACTCTAGACCAAAATGAGCTTTGAGGCTTTCTAACCATATCTGTGGGTGCACATGCTAGGAAAGAAGCTACTAAAAGATTAAAGAAAAGTAGAGTTGTTAGAGTGGGAAGGATGTCAGATGTCATCAGCCACATTTCCTCACTAAACAAATAGAGGAATGAAGTCCCAAGGTCCCATATTGATTTTTTTTTTAAAATTTGCATTCCTCACCCAAAGATATTTTTCCATTTATCATCAGATAGAGTGGGAAGGAGGGAGGGGGGGGGGGAGAGAGAGAGAGAGAGAGAGAGAGAGAGAGAAACATTGATGTGAGAGACACATCAGTTGGTTGCCTCCTGCACAACCCTGACCAAGGCTAGAGACCGAACCACAACTGAGGTATGTGCCTTTGACCGGAATCAAACCTGAGACTCTGTGGTCTGCAGGCCGCTGCTCTAACTGCTGAGCCAAACTGGCCAGCACATGACATTCATTCTTTATTACCACTAATTAATTAGTATTCACACTTTTAAGCAAAAAACATTGGATGGTCTCTAGCTGTTCCATTCTGGCAACCACTGTGAACAAAAAAATCAAAGAAGATCTTTGAAAACAACCTTAGAAATCATGGAGTCCAACCTCCTTACCTTCTGGTCAGGGGAATTATGGACCAAAGAAAGTGAGTGAGTGACAAGTCTGAAGATGCAAAGTTTCTGTGCTTCTGAACAAAAATTACCATGTATAATTTTGTGAGTCATGAGTCCCACATTACTCAAACCTGTTCCATCTCCTTAGTTTTTGATGGAGTCAGCCAGATTTGTGACCAAAGGCAAGATGTCTCCAAACGTTATCTGTATTGGCTGACTTTCCACTTATCATGCATTTGAGAAGAGTCATCCTGGACTTTCATCTAAGAGAAATCTGCAGTGAGCCTACATAGGATTTCTTTTTTTTAACAGCCTTAAAAATATTTTACAAATTGCTAGACCATCTTAACTAATAATAATATCAATAATGATACTACACATAACTAATTTAACTAAACACGTTCACCTCATAAAATCACAAGCTGACATTTGGGAGCATTGAATCGTAAATTTTTTCCAGTGTTTTATTTATTTACTTTTTTTGTTTTTGTATTTTATCCTCACCCGAGGACTTTTTCCCATTATTGTTCAGTTAGAGTGAGAGGAAGAGAGAGAGAGAGAAACATTGATGTGAAATGGACACATCAAGTGGCTGCCTCCCACAGGACCCCAACGAGGGCCAGGGACAAGCTGCAGCCAAGTTACATGCCCTTAGTGGGAAATGAACCTGGATCTCTCTGAACCACAGGCTGACGCTCTAACTGCTGAGCAAAACCGGCCAGGGCTCCAGTGTTTTAATCTGAAGAATTTTTTCATTTAAAGCAAAACCAAAATCTTGTATCCATTTTAGAATTTAATCTTAGTAGCTTTTATTTTTATATATTTTTGGTGAGTTTAAAAAAATAATTATGTTCATATTATTTCATCTTGTTAGAAATTCAGTGTGGAAAAATGGAACATTAATATTTTTCTTTTGAGTCAAATCACTGGAAAAATTTTCCTCATTTCATCTGCTTTTAGTATCATACATGGCATTGCCTTCTATGTAAATGTGCCAATGAATAAATGTTTAGTAAACAATTATTCTGCATCTCATTGTTTCCTCTACATGATATTGACTGGTTTACATCTTAGTCATCTTAGTTTGTAGTTGTTGGTTAACTAGTTGAAGACAAAAGAATATGTATCTATCAAAAATAGATCAAAGTCTTCTCAACTCGCCCTTCAAAGGTTTCACATTTATGATGTGCCAAATATGGCAAATGTAATTAAGAGGTATTGACAAGGTGGAGTTTGGTATAATATGTAGTTAGGTAATTTAGTCATCTATTACCGCCAATATATTCCTGGAGTCAGGTTATAAAACTGTATTCTTAGCAAGCATGGTAATAAATGGAATATTGATGGAAAATACAAATTCTCAAATTTGTAAAGATATTAGCCTCCAGAATCATGGGTAAGAGAAAATAAATTCCTATTTTACTATTAGGGAAATTTCTTGCCATTTATTTATGTATAAAATTTGGATCACTAAGGTACAATTTTTCTACTCAAAATAATATCTTATGAAAAAGAATTGTTATATGAAGAGCCATTCAGTTTCTATATTCCTTATTAGGCTATCTCTCAGAATATATTGTGTAAACCCAAGAGTTTTAGTTGTGTTAAAAATTAGTGAACTGTAATTATACCATAATATTTCTTTCCAATAAATTTTGCCTGTGTGAGGACTTGGAACTTAATGCTTTGACACACAGCTTGTCAGTGGTCAGCTGTCAGGGGAAATTCTGGTTTTGTCATTCTGTACACTTTTGGGGGAAAAGGTATGTCTTGAGAAGGAAATATTTCCTTGGGTAATAGTGCCAGAATGTCTGACCTTGTTTATGAATGATATTTATTGAACAAATGTCTGTCTTTTGGTACTAATATCCTAACTCCAATAGGAATAAATGAGTGACTTGAATTCATGAAAGACAGATATTCAAGTACTAAAATTTGATTTATATTTTTATTGTGAGTATTCATAAGAGGTTACTAGTTTTCATAGTTTGTCAAAACGAATGCAGTTCAAATCAGAGTGTTTTTTTTTTTATAAAATGCTGAATAGAAGTTTTAGTGAACGTGTAGTGTTTCCATAATAGAGTAGTTGATGCTAAATAATGATTGCATTTAAAAATTCTAGCAAGGTTACTTTTGTGGGTTGTCCTGAAAAAATTATATCAATTTAATTTTTACTTTTTTGTTGAAATGTCTAGTATAATTTATATTTTAGAAATCCTTCAAGACCATATATTTGTTATCCCAAAATTTCCATAATAGTGTTAAAACAAAGATTATTTAAAAATTAAATCTTAAGAATGACACTAAAACGTTAATAGACTTTCTACACATTGCTCTTGTGCTATTGTTTAAATTTTTTTCTTTATTGATTTCAGAGAGATAGGAAGGGAGTAGGAGAGAGAGATTGAAACATTGATGAGAGAGAACATCGATTGGTTGCCTCCTGCATGTCCTCCACTGGGGTTCAGACCCACAACCGTGCCCTGACCAGAAATCGAAATGGCAACCTCTTGGTGCATGGGTCAACGCTTAACCAGTGAGCCATACTGGCTGGGTGCTCTTATGCTATTTTAAGCAATACTTTATAATACAGGAAGAGTGCACCTTATGTAACATGGTGGCTGTTTTGGAACAGTGAAACAATCCTTTGTATTAGGGTAAGAACCAGTATAGCTGATTTAACAGATTTAGACATTGGAGTTAAAATGAGAGTTTTTCCATCCTCTTGTAAGGTGAAAGAAAAATGATCAATTTTCCTTGCTTTGTTGGGAAAACCAGGCCAGAGGGCCCATATCACCCATGCTGCAGATTTCTATGCCAGTGGCCTCCCACAAGTATTCATGTGGATCAAAGCTTGGCCCACAGTTCTTGCTCAGAATTGTGGCACAAAGTTTTGGGAGTTAGGCAAAAGAAACATAGGCATTTTGGGGAGGAAGATGGCATCATTTGGACCCCAGTTTTAACTTCAAGGATTCAAGTCCTTGAATCTTAATTTGTCCTAATAATGTAAATGCCTGTCATGCTGATCTGTGAACCTGAGCAGATTTTCCTGAAGGAAACTGATCTGTGTAAACAGTTCTGGGTCTTTCCTTACCAAGAATACTATATCCTAATTGGATAAATAAAAATGTATTTAATGTCTTGGGCTGGAAATCTCTGGGCAGTCAGATCTTAATCTTTGCTCTTCAAAATCAATTGTGCCATCTTTCCCCAAGGCCTTGATTCTGTACATGCTCATCTTTGAAGCATCAACTGACTACACCATGGGCTTTTCTCCTTTTTGCATTTAATGATGATGCTGCCAATATCTGAAATCAATGTCATCTTTTCTTCTAGCAGAAAAAACCTTATTGATCATTCAAAATCCAACTCTGATGTTAACTTTTGTTAAGATTCCAAGTACCCTCTGTCTCTACAACTCAGGCATTACCAACAGTAGTGAATGCCAGGGTACTTTTGGCATGTCACTCACACCACCAATCAGTTATCAACTTTTAAATGCCTATCTCCTTCTCTAGGGTGTGAGTGATTTAGGGGCAGAGATTAAGTCTTTCTTACACATCTGCTACATGAATGAATGGGTGAATGATTGATGTAAGCCTGCAGAGCTTCCCTCTAAATTTCCTGGTAAAAAATTGCAAAGGACTTTCTATAAAATGCTTTCATTGAAACTATGTAGCATTTTCACATTAGAAGACATTCTGGAGATCATCTCTGGCTTTAGGAAACAAAACCAGAGAAATTGAATACTATGCCCAGAGCTACATAACTCTGGTGGCAGAGGAAGGAATAGACTTGAGGTCTCCATTTGACATTCATTTATGGAAAATAAATTTTCTTAATTCTCTTTTGTTCTACCAGGTTGAGCAGATGTTTGGAAATTGAGACTTTTTCTGATGTAGTGAAGTGTTACTATTAATTCACATTAACACTTAGCGTGAGTCTAGAATTTCTCTCTCTCTCTCTCTCTTTTTTTTTTTTTTACTGGACAGGTAAATACCAGCTGTCCCCCACAGTGAATATGCCCCAAGATGACACTGTCATTATAGAAGATGACAGGTTGCCAGTGCTTCCTCCACATCTCTCAGACCAGTCATCTTCCAGCTCTCATGATGATGTGGGATTTGTCAAGACAGAACCTGGCTCGTGGGCTAAGACTGCAGCCAGTGATTCAGCAGACTGGTAAGTTCACACTCCAGGGTTAGAAGACATTAGTGAGTTACAATCACAGTTTATTTTATGTTTATTTATTTTCATATATGTCTTTATTGATGTTTTAGAAAGAGAGGAAGGGATAGAGAGATAGAAACATGATGTGAGAAACATTCATCGGCTGCCCCCTGCAGCCCCCTACTGGGGATTGAGCTCGCAACCCAGGCATGTGCCCTGACCAGACAAACCAGGACCTCTCAGTCCGTGGGATGATCCCTGCCCAATCCACTGAGGCACACCCACCAGGCAGTTTATCTTATGTTTTAATAGGCTGTTACTGAGCACAGTTAATCAGTTTTTTATAGCATTGTTCTGTCTTCATGGTTTTAATACTCTTATCACTCTTCGAATAAAAGATTTCTTCAAAGGCCATAAACTTGCCCAGTTATTTTAGCCTTTCCAGGGCTCTAGTTAATAATTTAGCCAAAACAATGACAAAAGTACCACTAACCAGAAAACCCTATTCATTTGTTAATTCATTATTAATTATTTTAGGTCAGTGTCAATTTGAATATTAAATAAATTCTAAGGTGACTCAAAGTTTGTCACAATTACATGATTTTGACCAAATTAATAGTTGATAAATTCTGGGAATGGGACTATTTTTTTAAGAGTGCTATAACTATACTCTTTATGTATTTTCATGGACTTTTACTTTTAATTTTTCTTTCTAATTGAATTTATTGGAGTGAAATTGGTTCGCAAAACCATACAGGTTTCAAGTGTACAACTCAATAAAGCATTATCTGCACACTGCATCGTGTGCCCACCACCCCAAGCAAAATCTCTTTCCATCACCATTTCCCCCTCTTTTCCCACCTCCACCTCCCCCAGCCCCACTTCTCTCTGGCTATCACCACATTGTTGTTCTGTCTGTGTGTTATGTATATATATTTTTTGGCTAATCCCTTCACCTTCTTTCATCCAGCCCCCAATACTTGCTTGTAACATTGTTACTTTGGGGCAGTCTGAAGCTGTTTTTTCTCCTGTGTCTTTTGACGTAAGCTTTTGATGTTACTGAGCAAATGTGTGGCCAGTGAATGTGGATATGCACTTTAATGTGCATGCCTGACAATTACAAAAATCAATAAACAGTAGGAAAGTGCTGCCTAGCGATGACCTTCTAAGGTTGTAGTGATAATTAACACAAACCATGTGAAGCATTATACCAGAGTTTTCTCATTACTCTCTCTTGGGTCTTTTATGAATATATCAGCAAAAGTATATTTAAATATTATAATATTATTCCTTCACCACTTATTCATTTCTGTTTTCTACTCTTCCCCAGACTTGTATCAACATTAAATGTTAGATAGGAGGAGTCCAGGCGACTGGCATTTATTTGTGTTAACATTTTAGTGATGACCTTAACAAAATGAACTATCACCACAGTCCTCTTCCCCCATTTCTCCCCTTGGCTCATGAAAACACAGCCTGGTCATGGTCAATTCTGCAGGTGTTCTCTTAGAATAATTTCACCTGTTATTTGTACCTTTGAAAAGTCCATATCTCTCTTTTTTCTTTTCTCTTCCCTTTTCATTTTCTCTTTCTTTTAATTCTCTTATTGAAAACACAGGATTTAAAAAGAGTTCCACTCAAGCCTGCATGATAGTAGCTTATCTGTGAATGTGTGTTTTGGTTCAACTTGAAGGGGAAGCCCCAGTGTCAAATAAACTCCCTTTTGAACTCCGCAGATGCCTTTACATTTGCTGCTGCAGATTTTACCTCTTTCTGAAGTGAAAACAACAGAGAAAGTAAGGATTAGATATTTGCAGCATTCATGTTAGGGACAAATTGGAATCTCCACCATGATGAGAAATTGTGAAGGTGGCCAGAGGAATAGATCTATTGGGTGCCTGGTGAAATGCTCTGTCGGTGAAAATAAATAAATAACTACCAAGGATTGATTGTGGCATTAACTTCTTTAAGGGGGTTCATGAAATGGTGAGGACTTGTACGATTTTGCTGTGGGGAATGTGGGCAAGGAAAACAATATGAATAAAGGACTATCTAAACAAGAATGGCAGCTGTTCTGAATCACAGCAGAAAATGTAAGCTTTTTCAGCCTGACAATATCTCCCTAATCCTTGATGAAAATGTTGTGAAAACAAAAGGGAAATAAGACAGGATTAATAACTGGAATTTTAATAACACTGGGGGACAGGATATGGTTACATTCTTTAAAGAATCATCTGTCAGTCCCGCAATCTAATTTGTTAAGTATTCTAGTGTACTGTTTATTGTGTCTGAAAGTAGTTTAATGGGTCTACTGATTGGGAAGAATTAATATGTCGTGTTTAAGAATATTTAGTTATTTTAAGACTCATTAATTCACAGACTCATTTGACACTTAAAATTATGTATATTTACAGTTCACTGTACTGGAAGGCAAAAATATCAAATGGCTAAAATTTTAAATTGTTAACTAATAGAATATTATTTTTCAATCTATTAATTGATTTAGGGAACATTAACAATGTTTTTAAGGGGAAAAAGGTAAAAGAGCAGATTCTAGTTTTAGTGACAATAAACCTTAGAGGTTATAAAATTAATTTATGAAGTATGACAATATGTGGTTTTCAAGTAACATTAGCAACAACAATTTGTATTTCTTTGAAAAATTTTTTACCAATAATTTTTGTTAAACTTGTATTTCAAATTCATTCTCTTCACCAATTTGATGGCTTATTGAGTTCAGGTTTTAAAAATATTCCACATGATACACATACACACCCAAACATGCAGAATGGTTAGAGATCAACTTTCAATATATAAAAATTAATTTTATTGAAAATGTATTATTTAGGGTTTTTCTTTATAGTTGGGGTCATAATTCTCATCATATGAGTTTTAATTTTGCACTTCTAGGATCGCCTATTTGAATTGGAATGTATATGCTCTGGAAATTATAAGCATAGTAGTATATGAATACTACTGTGTAAGCATAATATGCAAGTGCATATTTTTGAGAAATATGTATAAATAATATATAATTATATATATAATGTACACTATTATTATATGTACCTATATACATAGTAGAGTTGACCCTTGAACATCATGGGTCCACTTACACATAGATTTTTTTCTTTATTATTTATTGATTTTTTAGAGAGAAAGGAAGGGAGAGAGAGAGAGATAGAAACATTGATGTGAGAGAGAAACATTGATTGACTGCCTCTTGCACGCCCCCTACTGGGGATCAAGCCCCAAACCCAGGCATATGCTCTGACCAGGAATCAAACCTGGACCTCTCAGTCCATGGGACGACATTCAATCCACGGAACCACACTGGCTAGGCACACATAGATTTTTTTTCAATAAATACCTGTACTGTTTTCCATCTGTGATTGGGAGTCTACAGATATGGAGGGCTGACTGTATCATTGTTGTACACTATTTTTTATTGGGAACTTAAGCATCCATGGAATTTTGGTACTTGTGGAGAGTTCTGGAACCAACCCTTGAGGATACTGAGGGACAACTTAAGTTTTGGGGGAGTTAAAAGTTACATGTGGATTTTTGTGTGGGGTGTCAGCTCAATCCCCATGTTGTTCAAGTAACAGCTGAATGTAATCATTGAAGGATGTGATTGGGTACCTAAGGCTTCAAGATAAACATGACCTTACTTCTTTCTGGAACATCAAAATTTATTCACAGTTTTATAAGAAAATGATATGTTAAGAATGAAAATTTTTAGTGTAGAATGCGAACAAAATAAGATTATTAGGCCCTGGCCAGTTTGGCTCAGCGGTTAGAGCGTCAGCCTGCGGTCCGCAGAGACCCGGGTTCGGTTCCCGCTAAGGGCACGTACTTCGGTTGCAGTTTGTCCCCGGCCCTGGTTGGTCGTGCGGGTGGCAGCCACTCGATGTGTCCCTTCACATCGATGTTTCTCTCTCTCTCTCCCTTCCTCTCTCTCCCTCCCGCTCTATCTGTACAAAAAATGGAAAAATGTCCTCGGGTGAGGATAAAAAAAAAAAAAAAAAAAGATTATTAGTACATAAGATAGTATTTTACAAAACAAAAACAAAAAAATTGCTTCTGCCTTGGGCTGAACTCCCAGTCCCTGTGGATACATCCTTTTTCAGTACCTGGGCCAGGCAGGACTAGAATGAGGAAGGTAGGTGCCCAGGGTTCAGGATGTAAGGAGGTACTCACTCACAAGTTCCTATTCTGAACTTGCTTGGCCTCGAGAGTGTGCTTCCTTAAATTCTGAGCCCTAGGCACTTACCTTGCCTCATTCTTGGGGTCCTGCTCTGTATTTGTTGGAAAAGATTGAGAAGGATTATTCAGTTCCTTTGTGTGGATTTTAAGGACCCTGTTTCCATGATCATAATTTGTGTTACTTTGATAATTTGAGATAGAAAGTCTTTGTTGGATAGTAAGTTATTTTGTGTAGTGGTTTGCATATTACAAAGGGCTTTCACTTATGTCACTGAATTCTCTCATTGGCCTTGTTAGATGGATGAAGCAACCAGTATTTTATTTACTGAGCATTATAAGACATGCTGGCTCAATACGTTTCAGTTCACTTAACCTGACATCAACGCATTTTCCTGGATGTCTTCCCTTTCACCATGTTTGGTTTAGCCACTCTGTTAAGAGCCAGTTATTTCATACTTAGTAAATTGTAGCTAAATTTCTGATATATATCAAAACTAGATCACTGTCCTTTTCCTAACATGGAGGGTAATTCTCAAAAAGGGTTCAAAAGCTTGCTTCCATCAGAAGCATAAGGAAGCTGTCATAAACCTGGCTGACATAGTGAAAGGGGCCCACTCACATTTTAGTTGATTAGGGGAGGCATGTTCTCCTACCTGGCCAGGTAGGTAAGGTGGCATTGCACTGATGTAGGAGAGCCCTTAATTTTCTCATTGTGCCCAGGGGGGAATGATTTTTATTGTTAAGGGCCATGCTCAGAAAACCTGATATGCCTTTTTACAGGTTTAGACAAATTGTGATTTCATATCACCCTTACCACTTCCATTAGGAAAACACTTCAAACTGTACCCTGTTACCAATGACTTGCCATATGCTTAATCATCTCTGCTTCAGCCATTGTGTTGGTGTGACCATATCAAATGTCACTTAAGTCATGTTTTTCCTGACTTCCTCAAATACTGTTTATTCTCTCATCTACGCATCCGCAGCTTCTGCTATGTACTCCTGGTTTGGCATTTTTCTTACGAACTCATAGAGATCAGAGATCTTTTCTTATTTATCATTTTGACTTTGGTAACCAGCACTATGCCTTAATCAGAATAGGTTCTAATAAAGACCATTGAGTTGATCTTCTGCTGATTAAGTATTACAGAGAAGCTACATCCTTATGAAACTACATGCCATAAGGTGTTTTTGTTTTTTTTTTTCTTTTCTGAAACACAAGATAAAGGGTATATAAGACCAGAATACATATATCTTTTTTAAAACTTCTATTTATTTTCAATTTATATAGCCACTTGTTTGCTGCCAACATTTATATTAATATATGAAAGCTTTCCTGAAACTTTCAGTCATTCTAGTGTCTAAAATATATAAGGCTTGTTTTTTTATAATCACTCGAAAATAATAATGCATTGTCAAATAGAGTAAAAACTTGAGAAGGAAATTAGAGGAGGAGAGAACTCACGTGGAGAAAGAATTACTAAATGTAAATTAATGTATTTTTCTATTACTTTCTATACAGCCACTATTTTTGTTGTTGCTGTTGTTTTTTGTTAACCCTCACTCAAGCATATTTCTTCCATTGATTTCTATATAGAGTGGAAGGGAGAGAGAGAGAGAAAGAGAGAGACATTGATGTGAGAGAGAAACATGGATTGGTTGCTTCCTCCATGACCCCAACTGGGGCCGGGGATCAAACCTGCAACCCAGGTAAATGCCCATGATCAGAAACCAAGCCCACAACCCTTTGGTCTGTGGGTCAGTGCTCTGACTGCTGAGCCAAACCAGCCAGGACAAGCCACAGATTTTTAAGAAAATAATTACATTTGTGTAATTTAGTTTAAATATTTTTGAGGAATATACATATACACGGAGATATAGATATATATATATGAACTTTCCTAAATTGAATGTCTTCTATTTTTAGTAAATATTTTTGTTTCTCTTTCTTTACATACCAGCTCTTTGAGTCCAGATGTTGATCCAGTTCTTGCTTTTCAACGAGAAGGATTTGGACGCCAGAGTATGTCAGAAAAACGCACAAAGCAATTTTCAGATGCCAGTCAATTGGATATCGTTAAAACACGAAAATCAAAAAGCATGGATTTAGGTAGTGAGTACAGTCTCCATGAATGTTTCTATAAATAGATGCTTTCAGATTTAAATTGATGGTCCCAAACAAGTCTGTTTTCTTTGAGCAGTATAGAAAATAAATGTGAAATGTGGTAATTTGGCAAAAATTAGTTTTTCTCTGAGTTTGAATTAAACATATTTCTCATAAGTGGCATGTTTATATAATGTGCAGTATGTTAAATATATGCTTTCTGATGAGAAAAGAAACAGTCACATGTGCATATCATGCTATATTCATGTATCTTTATTTGGAACAATGAAATGTTTTAACACTGGCTGTTTAAAACCAATTTCATTGAAATAGTATTTGTTTGGTTGTGGCATTATGAACTAAAAGAAAAAGTTTTGGAGAAAAATCATTATCTCAATCCATGTGTAGAATTTGGTTACTTCATATTTCCCTTTTAATGCTATTCCTTAAGGTTTATGTAATAGAAACTCATGTGTTGATAATTAAGGCTTCTAATTGAAGTAATAATTTGAGAGACTATTTTTTGTAGAAAATATTTGAAACAAATGAGATCTGGAAGATAACCATAGTTGTTCAATCAAATACTAATCAGGTGTCTCTTTAAATCCTATCTCACCAAAAACAAATAAACAAAAAAAGTAAAATAATTAATCATATCTATAAACTGATTGAATTATTTTTAAAACCTTTGTTAATCAACTGTAACTTATTTTGTTGTTCCTTGGTGGCTGTTTGTACTTAAAGACTAAAAGCATTAATTTATCATGTGCATAAAAGAAAAATTGGGTGATACATTGCCTTGGCTAATAATGATATGCTAACATATAAATAACATATGTGTCTGTGAAATGAAATGACTGGCCTATTGCATGGAGACACTGCTTTCCCCTCTCCTTCTTTTGATTATGAATATTTGCTTGAGGTTTCATATTATTTGCATGAAATATTACCTAAGAATTATCACATAACCGAAAAGATCTGGGAATGGTTGAAGCATGTTGAGCTGTAGGACTAACTGGGCTAACCATTATACATTTACCTTTTAACAGTAGCTGACGAGACTAAACTCAGTACAGTGGATGACCAGAAAGCAGGTAAGAATGGACCGTTAGACTGTTGCCATAGAAACTGTGGTCCAAGGAGCTTATCCTAATTATAGAGCTGCCAGTCATATTGCATGCACGCATAAATATTCCAGTCTTGCACGGATGTTTTCATTGTAGGAAATCAAATTGTACAATAAGAGAAAAAGTTTCTGTTAGAAGAAATTTATCAGTGTAGTACATCTAAATGGAAATAATTTAGTGCTTCAAAAATGCTTAAACAACCTAGATTTTCTTAATTATATTTGTGTAGAAATATTTTGTCACAATTTAAGAGAACTCAGAATCCTGAAAACATAATCTCAGGTAGACTTCTGTTCTTTGATGCCTAGGTTAACACTCAAAGATTCTCAAAGTAGTGACTTTGATTTGAAGGGTAATAATAGCATAAATGTAATTGTTTTTCACCAAAGGACAGTGTCCAGTAATTGCTATCATTAGTCACTCAGAAAACCTATTTCTTTTGCTAATGCAAGAATTAGCTCATAGCTACCTGACATTGAAATTGGACTATATAACTCATATGGCTCCTTATCTTAACTTTGTGAACCTGTTTAAAAGTTTTATTTTTTGTTTTATTTTGTTAACTATTTAGAGCTGAATTCTAAAATGCTTTCTAATCATTCCATAGAAACAAGGGATTATGTTGAACTAAGGTTTTGCATTATAATATATTTTACTTCTTATGTTATTTCATGAAAATAATCAAAGTGGGGTTTTTTTGCAATTAAAGTAATGTACTTTGTACAGTTGATCATTTATGATTTATTATAAGTTTGGAATAGTGTTTTAATTATTCTAGGTCCAGTATTATACCACTTACCACTAAGTAGCTTCAATTCACCTTCTTTACCTACAGTAGTAATTGGTTTTATCCTGCTTGAAAATGTGTATCCCATGTATACATGTAAAGATTATTGTGAACATGGTTGGAATTTTCACAGTGTGTAGAGTAAAATATATATTGTAAAAATTACATCCAACGAATCATAGGATTCACTGTAGTGCAAGGCAATACACTATAGCCTCAAGCCTTAGTAAGTAGTTTATCAAAGTTTATTGAAATTTTGAAATAGGGTTAACAAAAAATTTATAATTCGCATATGTAGATTAATTATTCATTTTTGGAATTATTAGTGTGCATTATTTTTAGGAAATAACTTCTGTCCAAATTAATATATTCATAAAAACCAAATTGAATTGCTAAAATTAATGAACATGGATTTATATACTAGACTTATTAGGTAAAGTAAGGAAAATACTTAATTTAACTCACTACTACTAAAAAAGAAAATAAATATTTATTATTGAGATTAAAAAATAATGATATCCAGATTTTAACTGAAAACATTAAATAACTTTCATGCTGAGAAGGGTAATTTTATACTTTAATTGAATTATATGTTTGTAGTGTTTTAACATCCTAGATATAAAGAGCATTTTAAAAAATTTATCTTTATTGTTGAAAGTATTACAGATGTGCCCCCTTCCCCCCCCCCCGTGACCCCCTCCACCACCCTCCCCCTTGCCTTCACAGCACTATTATCTGTGTCCATGGGTTATTCATACATAACCAAGTTCTTGGGTTAATCTCTTCCTTCCCCCCTTTTCCTTCTGAGATTCATCAGTCTGTTCCATGTTTTCATGTCACTATATGCAATCTATTCTACCAAACTAAACTGGAAAAACTTTGGACAAAAAAATTATTATATAGACAACAAATTTTCAGTTATTTTTCTTTCTTCATTTAAATTGTTACGATTGTCATGATTTTACAGTTATTGCATAGTCATAGTGGCATTTTAGCATAGACTGTCTGTCTAGCCATTAGTCTTTTGTAATGAAAATTGAATTCCATTTCCCTTTGCCCTTGCAAAAGCCATCCTCTACATTTTTCCAGCAAGACGAGTAGGACTGGAAAAGGAGAACTAGGTAAAATAGTATGATTATGATTTTCATTTAGTTCCTGGACTTAGGTGTCTTTTGTTATACTTGGGAGGTAAATTATTTTATGAAAGAAAAGATAGAACAGGAATGAGAAAAGAATTGGGTTTCTAACAGTTTAATCCTTGAATGTAAAAAATAAAGTATCCTAATGGCCTAAAATATTTGTATAAAAATCTTTAAAATATTATTTTGAAATTAAAAGATAATTGATTGATTGTGTGTGTGTGTGTGTGTGTGTGTGTGTAAATATAACTAATCCTTTGCCCATAGAAATTTTCAATTTTTCTTACTAGTAAATGCTGAGTTTTTAATATTAGGGATCTCAGTAACCCTCATTCAGGAATCTAAATATAATATTTTATTAAACCTTTATTAAAGTTTCTTTGACAAATATAATACTAAATGAATGATATCCATTTTACAGATCAAGAACCAGATAGTAAATATTTATGTAGACCTTGGAGACTAGACAGTCTCTGTAGCAGTAACTTTATTCTCTGATGTAGTGTGAAAGCAGCTGTATAATATGTGTAAACAGATAGGCATGGCTGTGTTCCAAAAATGTTTTTTAGATTCTGCCCAAGGTTTGCTGATTCCTATTATAGATTCACAAATTATAGATGTTGTATTTTTTATAACATTTTATTGTGAAAATTTCAACCATATGTAAATATAGAGATAGTAGTTTATTGATGTCTCATAAACCCCATACCTCCATTGATAATTATCAACATTTTGCTAAAATGTTATTCTACAGTGTAATCTCTGAATTACACTTATATCATATCTATTGCTTGTTTAGTTATACTCTGTTTTTCTTCCCAGAATTGCCTGTGTTTATATATTTAAATAAATACATGTATTTATATACACATGTACTTATATGTACATATAAATATTTATATACATATAAATATCTGTACATTTATTTTAATAAATGTATGCCATTTCTGAAATTCATTATTAAAAATTTTAGCTCTCTGCCCTGGCCAGTTTTGCTCAGTGGTTAGAGCATCGGCCTGAGGACCAGAGAGTCCCGGGTTTGGTTCCTGCTAAGGGCACATACCTCAGTTGCAGTTTGTCCCCGCCCCAGATGGGGTTGTGTGGGTGGCAACCACTTGATGTGTCTCTCTCACAACGATGTTTCTCTCTCTCTCTCTCCCCCCTTCTCTCCCTCCCACTCTATCTGAAGATGAATGCAAAAATGTCCTTGGGTGAGGATAAGAAAAAAAGATTTAGCTCTCTGAGTATATAAAGTCAAATTTCAGCTTACTTTTCATAAAGAAAAGCTTAATAAATATAGATGGTGTTTTTATGATAATCTTTACTGGAAGCATGAAATCTTTATTGCATTATATATAGAGAGATAGATAAGATAGAATAGGAGACAGAATAAATATATACATAGATAATATATACATATGTAGGGATTAGCAAAAGTAGGTTTACAGTTGTGAGTACATGAAACACAGAGTTTATTCTTATTGAGTTAATAAAGCTACTGAGAAAGTCAAATATCCTATGATCTCACTTATATGTGGAATCTAATGAACAAAATAAACTGACAATCAAAATAGGTTCAGAGGCATGGATTCATGGAACAGACAGATCTCAGAGGGGAGGGGAAGAGATTAACCAAAGAATTTATATGCATATATGCATAACCCATGGACACAGATAATAGTGTGGTAAAGGCCAGAAGGGTGGGAAATGGGGGACATCTGTAATACTGTCAACAATAAATTTTTAAAAATAAAGCTATTGTAATAGTCATAACCTACATGACAAGTGTAAACCTACTTTTACCTTCCCCTTGTATACATACATATGTCCTTTATGAATCCAAGAAATCACCAAATAGTTGCTCTATAAATGTTTATGAACCCAAATGCAGCTGATAATTTATTAAGACTGATAAGCATGATTTATTCAGAAAAAGACCTTCCCGATGCTAATTCTAGGACATACAAATGTAGATGTCCCTGCCCAGGAGTGATCTTTTCCCATTCTCTTTGGTTCCTTGATTTCTTTCTTTTTGTTCAGTTATTTGGAACACAATTTATTTTCCTTCCTGTGACATGACTTTTATGGATATATAGAACATGAACTTGTCAAAAGTTATACTAGTGCTATCAAGAGAAAAACTAATATTGATCACCCTGGAAAAAAAATAGTGGATGTGAATTTTTTTTTTTTTTGGTATGTGCCCCTAGCGGCAACCGAACCTGGGACTCTCTGGTCCACAGGCCGACGCTCCAACTTCTGAGCCAAACTGGCCAGGGCCGATGTGAATTTTTTAAATAAAATTATATATATATATATGCAACCTGCATTGAGAAGGTTAAATAAGTCACCTTTTTCTCCCAAGCACAATAATTTATGGAATATTATTTCTTCATTGGTATCTGTTTTTCTTTCTGCCTATGTTACATTTTTAACATTTATTCTAACTTAAAACTGCTATCTCATTGTGCAAGTGAGGTGAAAGATGGAATGTAAATAAATATTAAAAAGGTAATTCTTATTTTGATTCTCTCGATTTAATTTTTATTCTGTTTTACACTCTGAGCCATGAAAAGCCCATGTCTTAACCCTGTGTCTTTTAGCTAATAACATACCAAGGCTACTCATTAATTATTGATTAACATATTGGCTGATGACCCCATGTAGAGACAAACTAGTTTCTCCTACCCTGCCTTTTTTTTTTTTTTTTTTTGCATGAGTCTTTTTAACAGTATAAGTGAAGAGCTAGTTCTGTAGCTAGGATTGCCCAGGTGGTAGTACAAAGCTGGTATTTTAGCCATCGAAAGGCTAAATTTATCTACTTTTGAGTCCCAGGTCAGGCAATCATGGATAACACTGTCTTACCTAATTAAAGATATCTGTTTTGATTGCCTTCTAAAGCTTGGCACTTTTGGTATTATCTCAGGCCTTTCTGTCCTAGATCCTCAAGAAATAGGGGCAAATTTTTAATTCCCTGAGTTCTTCCTGCCATCTTACAAAAATTCTTTCAGTAGTTGTTAAGTTTTCTTCCTTCTATATATCACTTTTTCTCAAGCAGATATTGTTCCCAGGTCTGGAAGTCTAAGTCCTTATGTCAGCTCTTTAGTCTGTCCTCCTTCACCTCTGTCTAGGGAGAGCCCTTATGTAATTTGTTTCATCTCAAATTGTATATTGCTCTTTTCATAGAATGTTAATATTGCCCAGAATGAGGTTTCTGCCTGGTGTCTGGGTGCCCTAATGGTATTGGTGACATGTAGTCTTTTGTGCTCTCTCTACTTATGAGTTGTGTGATCCTGCACTATACTTGATGAAGCTCATTGATATGAAAGTTTGAGTTCTGTTAAAAATAATTTTGAATGGTCAAAAACTGATTTCAGTTAAGTTAAAAAGCTTACTCTTGGTTGCGTACCTTTGTGCTCTACAAGTGAACTTTTGGGTTATTCTGGTTCTTTTAGATTATTTGTATAACTTGGAGCAAATGATTTAATAAAATTTATTACTTTATTTTTTTATACCTTTTCATCTATTTGTTTATGCCCCTGACTTTTTCTATAATTCTTAAATGTTCAGAAATATAAATTGTGCCACTAATTCTAACATTTTGTTTTTGTAAACCTCCAAGGTTCCCCCAGCAGAGATGTGGGACCTTCCCTGGGTCTGAAGAAGTCCAGCTCATTAGAAAGTCTGCAGACAGCAGTTGCGGAGGTGACTTTGAATGGAGATATTCCTTTCCACCGCCCACGACCACGGATAATCAGAGGCAGGGGGTGCAATGAGAGCTTCAGAGCTGCCATTGACAAGTCTTATGATAAACCCACAGTAGATGATGATGATGAAGGCATGGAGACATGTAAGTTTATAATGTCAGAGAGAAAAGCAGTTACAAATAGTTCTATAAAGCAGCAGCTTTTTAAAGTATACCTCAGGGAACCCTGGGAGTTCCCAGTACCCTTCACAGGGAGTTCTAAACTATTTTCATATTAATAATAATGTTGTTTACCTTTTTATTCTCATTCTCTCACAGGTATACAGTGAGGTTTTCTAGAGGTAACATGTTATGTGACATTGTAGTAGATTGAATGCAGATCAGAGAGAATAATTCTGTCTTTTTAGCCAGGTTTTGAAGGGATTGACTAAATTATAAAACAGTGCCATTGTTCTCACTATTATTTTTGGAAATGCAGTTATTTTTTATAAAAATATGATTTCTGTTAACATTTTTGTAAGGTAATTTATAATTTTAAACTTTCCCAGTTTTAATTCAGTAAATATTGATAGCTATAATCCACATAACATTTTTATTTTGAGTTCTTAAGAACTTTTAGGAGCATAAAGGTCTCCTGAGAACAAGATGTTTGAAAATCACTCCTATAGAGTATATGTCTAATGTGATGTGTCCAATGACTATATGTAATAATTTGTGATTTTAAAAATATATTTTTGTTTTGTTTTTATGAATTACTCTTGCTTTCCTTGAACTGAGCCAGCAGGATATGTTTGCATGTAATACCAAACTGCAAAATATTTTAATGCCAAGACAGTTAAAAGTCATAGGTTAATATGAATGAGCAATATGTTTTCCATAGTACATTGAGAAAAACTTAACATTTATAAATATGTACAAATGTATGCTTCATGGAGTTATCAAACAATGGTAAAAATCGTTATATTTTTTCAATTTAAAAATAAGGGAAAAACTTTACTAGTCTATTTACTTAGAAGAGAAAGGGCTGAGGATTTCTAATAGTAAAAACTGTTGGTTAGCTTATATTGTTCATAACTAATTTACATTTTAGTTTTTTAACTTCAAAGGTGACTTTATCTGTCTAACCATTGTAAGCAAAGTTGGAGACATCACAGCTTGAGGTTAAAGCAAAGACCAGAGAGAGGTAGTTGCAGTGGATTACAAATTACTTGCAATTTAACTTTTGGATGTAATATTTCCCTCACACATACGTAAGGAAGAGTGTGGTAAGAAAGAAGAGTTTTAAATAAAAATCAAGTTCTCAGGAGATTTAAAGCAAATTTTTATAATTTTTGTCTGTCACATATAATGTGTTTGAGAAGATGAATATTGCCGCCGTAGCATAACATGCAAAGCAAAACTTAGAAGATTGCTGCACCTCGTCCCCCTCCCAATTCTCTAAATATGGACAGTTTTTGTTTTTTTTTTCTTCACTTCATCCAGCCAGTGATTTCATATATATGCAGCCTATTTTTGCCAGATGAAGAACATATTTTTTATTTTTGCTGCCAAGCCTGGTCTCCAAGATCCTGAGTCATATGAGCTTCCAACCTTTTAGAGTTTTCTCCTATTGTACCCACGGTTTCCTGCCATCCTAACAAATATGACTTGTGCAGCCCTTCTTGGGTAGAAGTCCTGTCACCTGTAAACTTTGCCTCTGTCTCTGCTGGATGGGTACATATTTAATAAGAGGTGTAGTACTTAGCCCCTCATTTTTTTAAGCAACTACAATTTAAGATGATTCTGAATATGTTCTTATTAAAATGTTATTTAAATTCCCTTATTAAATGCAGATTTTTTTTCACATATGTTACTCATTTCAAATGCAACAGGGAATGGAATCCTTATCAATTTGGGGCATGTTCTTAATTCTATAGGGAAAGCCTCCAGAGCTTCCCACCAATGTGGACATCTAAGTTCATCCCTGTATAAACTTAGTTTTCTTTTTAAATTGGAAATAACATATTTAAGAATATTACATTAAAGCTTATTCATCCAACTATCATAAAGACAAAAAAAAAAAAGTAAAGGTAAATAGACTGATTGCAATCTGTGAGCCAGAAGCAGAGTTCTGGGCAAGCTGGCAATGGCATTTGTGACCGGAGCACTTATAGCTACAAAGTATCATGTTTTTCAGCATCGTGGTTTTTTTTCAGACCAGTCTGCTGAACCTTGGATGACAAATGAAAGGCAACTATCATACATTTCAAATATTTGCAACTTGAATTGTTGAAATTGAATTAATAGAGTGGAGCAAACACTGACCTGGAGTTTAGATGACTTGCATCCTAGTTTACATTCTTCCAGCCAGTTTGACATTTTGGTCAAGTCACTTAAATTCTTGAGCTTTAATTTCCTCATTTGTAAAACTTAAGATTTGGACAACTAGGTCACTGATTTTCAGATTATATATAGTGCTATCTGGTCAGGAGGCTGCCTTCAGTGGTTTGGGGACAGTCACAGAGCAAGGGGGAGGCTGAGCGGCTGGGACTCTGCAAAGGCGACTCGCTTCCCCTTGCCCTGCTGCCACCGCTTCTCTGCCTTGACAGTTGTGGGTTTTTAAATCACTTTTAATATATCGCAGTTCTTGTAAATTATAATTTTAATAAAAGGTAGCTTGCTGTTACTCATAAAATGTTTGAAAAGCTCTCGTTTAGATGGTTTCTGAGGTCCCTTCTAGTTTTCACATTCCATTTACCTCCCTATATCCTGTCTACTGTCCTCTCTCACCTCTGTAAAGTCCGTGAAGGAAAACACCTCCATGTCTGTTTTATTCCTCCAGAACCAAGCACAAAGCTTGGCAAATCATAGGATTCAGTGAATATTTGTTATATCAGTAAGTGAGCTCCTACATAACTAGCACCACTGTATGCCGAAGAGAGAAGGGGACAGGGAGAAAGCGGTCCTTTCAGTATGCAGTAAGTGAGATGGTTGTGACATTTTGCTGTTCCTGTTTGTGTCCCATACTGGGCCTGCATGTACCTGACCTCAATACCTCAGCAGATTGTTTTTTTCCAAAAAATATATACATATATATATTATACATATATAGTATATTATATATATTATATGTATTATGTATATATATTTGTCATGTATGCATTACATATTATATATATATATATATAAATCTGTCAAGGCTTGTGTTACTGCTGATGGTCATTAGACTGTCACCTTTACATATGACCAGAAAGAAAAGGTGTTTTTGTTTGTTTGTTTGTTTGTTTGTTTTTATCTTGATTGATTTTTATAGAGAGAGGAAGGGAGAGGGAGAGAGAGATACAAAAATTGATGAGAGAGAACACTGATTGGCCGCCTCCTGCATGCCCCCTATTGGGGATTGGGCCCATAACCTGGGCATGTGCCCTGACTGGGAATTGAACCAGCAACCTCTTGATGCATGGGTTGACACTGAACCACTGAGCCACACCAGCCAGGTGAAAAAGGTGTTTTATGTCTCCAGTCATGAGTTAGCTCATCCAGCTCTTCCTTTTCAGAACCTGGCTTGTGGATTCTCACAGCACACTTCCTGTTGCTGGGCCTTTCCAGAATCTATGTTCTCATTTCTGGTTGTGCTTCTGCATCCTCACCTTGCAGCACCAACCCTTGTTGTGTGTCCAGCATACTGCCATTGTCTGTGCTCTGTGGGTCTCTGGCAGAGTGTGCTTTCTTGTACGGTGGCATGACTCAGCTGCAGCCACCTGTTGAAATGGAAATGCCAGATCACTATTGAATGTTGCTTTGAAATGAGGACTGCTGTCTGAGCAGAGCATGTTGTTGTTATCCAAGATGTCCTATAAGGATGCTGCACTCTGGAAACACTAGGATGGGATGGGGCTGTTGTTGAAAAGCCATGTGAAGAGTTAGCCCAGGCTGGGTGGTATTGACAGACGTACTTGTTTCCTCCCGTCACTAAGCCATTTTCATCCTTGGCACAGGCACCATTGATTGCTCTTGTCACTTGAGTTGAGCACCTCCCCAGTGGCTATAGTTCATGCCTCTAAACGGACTTGCCTTTTCTCAGCGGTGTTGAAATCATGGCATTGGCACAATACTGGAGGCTAAGAGACTGGGGCAGGATCCATGTGGTATCTAGTATCTGTCATCTTCTGTAACATGTTCTTTCTGTGGAGACGGCAGAATTCAGCATTTTTGTCTCTCATTTAATCCATCTGGCCCTCCATGTTGTGTGTCTGTCTGGATCAAGATGGAGATTTGTACCATGGGACTCATTATCTCCAAGGTCCTACCTGTGTTTGACAGGTCAGGGCATATACAGTCTGCTCTGATTCTATGCAAATTACATACCCTGCCTGGCTCTCAGCAAATGGCACTGCATGCCCCATAATTAATTAGTTTCTGTTGCTACCAAGAAAATGCATGCAATACCATTTCCTTATTTTTCTTTTTTGAAAAAGATATAGTTCTATTTTTTTCTCGTTTAAAAGTTGCTAAATTGTAAGCCTTACTATCAATTCAGTAACATCTTTTGTTGGAGGTGAAAAACAATACCAACTACTGTCCTGTTAATTGTTTCTAATGATTCGACGATATATGTAGTTTAGAATTTTAAATGTGCAAACCCATATACCTTGAAAACATAGAGATAGATTGCTTTTGAGTACCTGGCCTCCTTTCTTATGGTACTCTTATTAGGAGATAAGAAAAAAGCATTGTTCTACACTGTACATAGCTTAGGTTAGCAGTATGAGATTTCAAGAAACTAAATTTACATTAGTAAATCAGTTAATATGAGAGCTTCCAGGGGAATGATTGTTTTACTTATGAAATAGCACATTGCATTTGATATCTCAGATCTACTCAGCTTTCTGCACACTTCGAGCCACCTTTCATTACTGCCTATTTGAGCAATAATGGTGTGACTAAGTCTAAGTTTATCTTGAGCAGAACCCTTAGATTATAGCAAATATGTTGAAGAATTCAGGGAGTAGGTATCAAAGTCAGAGAACTTTGTAAAATATTTCTATTTGGTTTCTGTTTTAATGGATAATTGGATATTGATCTATAAAAATATTTTTTTCTGAAATGAAAAGAACCTATTCTATATTTTGATGCCAATTTGTATGCTTAAATATCACCTGCAG